GCAATTTATTGCATTTATTCAATTTAGCTAATTTATTTGATTTATTTGATTTATCGCATTTGTCACATTTGTTATATTTTCTAGATTTGTTGCATTTGTTAGATTTGTCGAATTTATTAAATTTATTGTAATACTGAAATATTTCATTATAAATAAAGGCCGTGAAAGCCCTGAGAACAATAAGTTCTATTTGCTTACAACTATCGTTCCCTAATAAAAATTACCTAATTGACCCAATTGACCTATATAAACCCAAGTATTTAAATAAACTCATTTTAACAAATTATCTTTTACTGTACCCTGATCGATCACTAAGTGGCATAGTAAAAGATCTTTGTTCATTAATTGACTTGCTCATATGACTTTGTTTTACTGGTTGATTCTTGATGGACTGAGGACTGCTGTGGTTTTTCAACTATCCAACATACTATAAACTAGTTGTAGTTGTTTTTTAGTTTCCCAACGGACTGTGGAATCTGTGGTTTTGCGTTGTTCCGGTTTGAGTTCAAGCAGAAGTTCTCAGGCTGTGGTTTTGTTAGAAATATTGTGGATTGATAATATAAGTGTTAGTGTGTTATAAACAAGGTTCAATATCGGTTTCAAGAAAATAAACCTATGTCAAAAACCATCCTCACCCAAATCTAAACGCCTCCATTTTGACTAAGCCTACACAAGGCCTTGATTTGATTAGTGACCAACTCGCCAAATTAGGTTGTCATTAGGAATATACTTACTAGCTGCTATTTATAAAAAATTAAATCAAACAAATATTTCTAAAAATTTATAAACATATTAGCTATGGCTATAAGAATGTATTTAATTTATTTAAACTAAGATCACTAATAATCTTTGTTTAAATAAATCAAGTATATTCTTATAGCCATAGATAATATATTTATAAAATTTTAGAAATATTTGTTTGATTTAATTTTTTATAAATAGCTATTATTTTTTTAGGGGTCTGGGATTTGTCCGGGTTTGGCCAGCAAGTATAACTAGAACACAAGTAAGTTCTGTAACAGAGTTTTTTACAGTAAATCACATAGAAATTATAATAATACAAACCTGCTCCCCTCAAATACAGAGATCAAGACAATTTTAATGCAAACCTTAACCAATACTGTGGTCACTAAAATAGCATGTAAATTCTATAACAGAATTTTTACAGTATTTAATGATAGAAAGTATAATAGTTCTAATATAATAATTCTAATTGAATTACTCATAATTTTACTAATGAAACCGCAACCGTCCATTAAGTAAAAAATGTTCCTAGGCCAATTTTACCATAATGCGAGCTTATTTTTTTTAAAAATTTCTATTTTTGTAATGAAAAAATCAAAAAGTTAATTCCGGTCGGAAATTAAACAATTATGTAATGCGGGCCAAATTTTTGAAGATCCTCGGCCGTTAGCCGATCAAAATCGAGGATCTGCCACGCATTTTTTGTGCGGCACCTAGGTTCAGTGAATCGTAACATTTCTGTGCCTCAGATTTCCCTTATTATTATTCTTATTTCAACAACTGTCTCCTAAACTTTAGTAAACGTTACTTCGCCCGCACCATCACGACTTATGTCCTCCTTTTGATCCTCACCAATCTTTCAAAACCACTCCTTTATATCCCTCATATCAAGTTCCTGCTAGTCCGATGGGAATGTTATTGAAGGAGTGATAGTAAGGAATGTTTCAGGCGGAAGCCTTATTTAGAATGTGTTTGTAATGACGAATGGAAGTTGACCCGTTAAATGTATCGGGAGAATTTTAGTTAGCTAAAATGTATAAAAGATCCCTATATTTCTTCTTACATATACATTTAGGCTCCATCTGAGTGATTCCTCCTTTATAATAAAGACATCTGAGTGATTCTTAATTTTATCGTATTTTTAAAATTCTGTTACATATGTATATACTTGCTAAGTACATGCACTTGTCTTATTTGATTGTTTACCTATTATACAAAAACATCATTGTATACTCCTATTTTTCATCCACCTATTACATCCATTATACCTGTTTGTTTAACCTTACCAATCACCTTTATATATTATCTCTTCAGTTTACAATCCTGACTATCACTCCAATTTGATATTACATCGTGTTTTCGCCCATAAATATTATTTTAAATAAAAGATTGAAAAAACGTCGGATGACTGGTTGAAATAAAACCTAAACCGATATAAAAATTTTTTTGAGGAGTGTAATGTAATTAATATATTATATATAAAACCCGTTAATTTCTAATTCAATTAAAGTATTCAAATTAAAAGAAAATGAGTGAGCTCATGTCCCTAGCTGAAAACAAATTAAGAATTGAACAAAAAAGAACATATAATAATTATTTGAGTTTATTAAAAACAATTTCCAGCAGAGATACGGAATTCCAATAAAGAATGGATAATACAAGAACTCTGTAATTTATAAAATACCAAAGATAATAGGTATGAAGTAATTTCAGTTTTATTGCTGATGGAGTTGTTCTGGGCTTTTCGTCCAGAATTTCTTCTAACGAAATAATAAATGTTGAGCAAGGTGGATTTAACCAGTCTGCCATCTTGAAGTATGATAATTAAAAATTCCATATCGTTTTATATTATTAATATGCTCAAGTTTACTACGAATAATTATTTTAACACAAGTATTTTGACTATAGTTGTTAGACGACGAAAGTCGAAACCTGAGCCTTAAATGACAAAACCTCTGTCGAAAGCCGAAGCCTCAAATTCTTCTGAAAAAAGTCGAAACCCTCAAATCCTTCTGACGAAAGTCGAAACTACAAACTTATTCGACGAAACCCTAGTACTCCCTCTAAAAAAAAAAAAATGAAAATTAGTAAAAAAAATTTGTTATTACCGAAACTCTTAAAAAAAAATTAATAAAAATCTATTTTCAGCAAAGCCAAGCTGTTGATAAAAAATAAAATTTATATATTTAAACAAAAAACAATGATTTGCTTTCTTTTTATTTATATTTAATGCTGAAGCTGTTTATTGGCTTGACGTGGCTTGTATATTTAGCTTTTAAAACAGAAATAATAAATGGGTAAATAAGCCATTAACATCTCTCGAATATTTAAATAAATATAAATATAGAGAATTATATTATATAAATATTCTGGTATTTTTCTTTTTATAAAATTTTTTTTTTTATTCAATATTAAAATATTTTAAATTTTTAAATTTTAAATTTTAAATTGTATGTATAATCTAAATATAAAGCAGTAAGAATGTTTTTGCTGCTTTGTAAATTTTTAGAAAATTGATAGCCAATAACATATTATAATTCATGTTTCTTATTAACTTCCCGTTAGGCCACTTTTTATTGAGATTCGATCAATTCACTGACAATCATCTATTTCACCACTGACAAGCTCACTTTACTGACAACCTATTTCACTGAAGCTCATTTCAAAAAGCCCTGTTAGTGAAAGAGCTTCAGTAAAATAGACTGTCGGTAAAATGAACTTGTTGATGAATAATTGTCATGAAATATGGTGTCTATGAAGTGATTGTCAGTGAAATAGTACGTATCTCTTTTTATTAAGTTTTTTATTTAACACTAATTATAATCAAAGGTCTGAAAACAATGTATGCACCTCTTATTAATTTATTATCTGCGCTAATTTGTCTTTTATAAAGTCAATTTAGCCAATATACAATGTGTAAAATAATTTGTTTATTATTAATTTATTATTTGGTAATTATCATAAATTTATGCTTTCATAATTTATCATTATCTTCAATAACATTTATCTGCTTCATCATCTTCTATTAGTTTCGACACCTTTTGTCACCTTTCGCCAGTTTCGACACCTTACGCCAGTTTCGACACCTTTCGGCATTTCGTCATTTGAAATTTTAATTGACGAATGTCGAAACTAGGCTTCGACTTTCATCAGTGCGAAACCTCGAGGTTTCGTCTAACAACTATAATTTTGACCCCTTTATGATATTATTTTACGAATATTTTATTTTGATATAATGACGCTATACAATTATTAATTCGTAATTCTATATATTACATAATTTTAATGATCACTATTCCTATTAAAAAATTGTCTATACTTATTATCCATTACATCTTATTCAGATATCACGTTTTTTGACCAAAAAAATCACATAACTCGCTTACGTTGTTATGTTGGTATAAAATATTCATGTGGCTTCTGAAGATTTCGAAAAAGAGAAGAATCCAAATAATATTGGTAGAAACCCTCGAATGGATGATTCAATTTACTTATAACACTATATACACTTAAATTACAACTTACAGTACATATCGATAAGATAAACCCAAAAAGTGAATTTGTTGGAATTTCGCAGGTAAATTTGTAAAACGGTGTAAGAGATAATTATGTATTAACGTTAATATTATTTACCAAATTTTAACTTTTAGATAAGCAGATCAACTATTCAAACATTTCGTGGCTTAAAAGCCTAGTTTAAACAAGTTATCGCAATATGTTTACCTATTTACATGTGTTTGTGGCGAAACATCTTTAGATATCACTATTTAGATTTAAACGTTTTTGCAAATACTGTAAACACTTTGACAATATACGTATATCATATATTTAATTATTAATTCGACTTCTCATAGAAATATTAAAGATGAGTGAAACTCCTCTTGAAATTTTAACGCATAAACCAGTTAAAACAGTTGAGGGTAAATATAATATATTGTTTTCTTCTATTTAACCCAGATACATTCTTCAATCGATCAAAATTTAAATATAGAATATTTAGTCAAATTGTTTGGAGACCTGAATAAAAAAAGAATTAAAAATAATACTTGGTAAGATTTAAATGCTAAAATTAGCGAAGTGATGAGAAGGTGATCACCTTGCTAACTTTACTTTACTAGTTGTGATGATTATTTACCAAACAATTTGATTAAAAGTTTTGACAATATAGGATTATAAATATTAATTAAGCTTTGATTTTTGACATACCAGTCAGCCTACATGTTAAAAATATAACGAATATTGTTTGCTCTCTAACTATGAAATATATTGCAACTTGGTGCCTTGGAAATAAATCAAATATCCTACCATCAATTTATAGATGGCCAATCACTAAGGGAAAACTCAAATTTGATAAACATTATATTATTTACGGTTCTCTTAATCTTGATGCTAAAGCACTAATTGGCGTTTCAGATACGAATCAAATTATCTTACGTGTTGAAGGAGCTAAATATTCTTATAACTTTGGTAAATTAATTATGTTTTTTTTTCATTTAATTATTATTCAAAATCTCATTGTTAATTTATCGGTCTACATCATAATTTTTGACAGAAATAATTGATATTGTAAATAATGAAAGACAAAAATTGAATACTCAAGGCCTAAAAGGAAAAGTCGTAAAACACTCGGGTTATTTTGATAATTCTTACAGTGAATTTTGTGATGAAGTTTCATTTCTTGAAAAGGTGGTCTGGCAATTATTAAAGGGGATCCAGTTTATCGGGCGTATATCTTTAATCTCAATGACAAACATAAGTGGAAATGTAAGAGCAGTATCGAACTTCCTAAATATTATAAATGTAATGTATCTTCAAAAGGAAAGTTGTTAGCTCTTTTAAAGCTGCCATTTGTAATTATGCAATGGGATTTAACAACTTTAAAGTCTGAGATGAGATATGTTCTGGATTGGAATCTATATAATAGCAGAAAAAATCTTCAAATGTGTTTAAACAATGATAATTCATTACTATCAGTAGGAGAAACGAAGATTAGAACAGGTCATGGTGATGACTTTAAAAAGCCTGCACAAATATCTATTTATTCAGTAAAAGATGGCAGTCTGATACAAAAATGTAAATATTTATTATATTAATTAATTTATAAGTTACAATAATTACTAATTTAAATTAATAATGTAGCGATTGATAATCTTAATGATCCTTGGAACCAAGGTCTTTTATTTTTGGATAATATGCGCTTTATTGGGTCAAAAAATGAAGAACGAATACTGTTTTCTTTTTACATGCATGGAACTGATCAGAGGAAATTTTCTATATTGAATCCACACAATCTTACCAATCCCATAGATGCAGGAGAACTATTTAAATCTGAAATAGAAAATTATGATAGGAAGAAAACTAGAGCAATTTTTTTTGATTATATTATAAAAGTCGAAAACGATCATTTATATATTGAAAATTTAGTTGATCATGAAAGTTGGACTAATTACATAAAGAGTGACGTACAAGTTGATGCACAAGTGAATGTGCAAGATCATGAATTCGATTTATTATTCAAAAATAAATCTTTCGATAAACTTATTGACTCTTTTTATGAAGAGGGGAGTCATTATAAACATTTAGAAGATACTCGAATAGTTGAATGTTTAAATAAAACAAGTTTATCGCATTTGAAGATTTATGGAAAAGATTTCATGAATGCATTAATGGATCCCAAAAAAAAGAAAGATGATATGAATAATAAAATAGTTAAAAAAGTTTTTATGATTTGGATGAAAAAAAGCTTATCAGAACTTGAAAATGGCAACATTTATTAATTTACGAAATTGATAAGTGTTATTACTTCTTCACTTTGTGATTTAGAAAAATATAATGAAAATAACAAATTTATAGAAAGATTTTTATCACAGACTGTATTTCTGATTCCCGGAATTGATTATGAGTATTGGATAAATAATATTTCTCGGTTGTCTCATTTTATACACTGTGGTACTTATCTGCATTATCCACATGAATTACATACGACTTCTTATTATAATTATGTTTCGTATTGGATCTCTAATAGTTATCTAATTTCTAAGACTTCAAAATTTATACGTTCAACTTTTTTTGCACCATAACGTAAATCAACACTCAAATTTATGATTCCCGCACTAAATTTCGCCACATATCCTGAAGTTTACTCTAAATTTAAGGAATTGATTTTCCTGCCAGAAATTCCTTTCAATGTTTTACATGCTTCTAATTATTATAAATGGTGGAATGTCAAAGCTTTAATTAATTTTAAGTGGAACACATATGGAAAATATTATTATTACATGATATGGGGAATCTTTATGTGCTGCTTTACAATAGTAGCAACAATTTCACAAAATAAAATTTCTTCATATGGTCAAGTAATTCTATTAAACGTTACAATATTTCTAGGTATCTTTTTTATTATTATTGAGATAAGACAATTTTTTTACGATCCAAAAAGATATATGACAGATTTTTGGAATTTAGTTGGTATGTATAATTTTTAATTGAATTTATATTGCTGATTATAAATATAATTTTATTTATAGTTTAATTAATTTATTAGATATTGTGGCATTATCATTGCCAATAATAATTTCAGTAATTTGGCTATATGAAAAAACATTATCAGTTTGGATTATTACAATATCAACTCTGTTACTTGAGATTAAATTTTTATTTTTTTTTCGCGCTATAGATTATTTTGGGAATTACTTTGCAATTATGATTGGAGTTGCACAACAAATCTTTTCTTTTCTTGTTTTGTTGGGCATTATAGTTTTTGCTTTTGCACATTCTTTGCACCTTTTGTTAAGACCAACAACAGAATATTCGTATGATCAACCAAACTATAATAATGATATTAATAACCCATGGAATCTTGTAACAAGATATAAATCAATTTCACCTGATGGTGTTATTGGTAATGATACTTTTATTGAAGCACCAGATGCCAATACGAATTTATTTTCTGTATTTAATACTGCAATTATCGCAGTTTATTTTATGTTAACAGGTACAGTATTATTCAAAAACTAAACTACTTTATTTTTTATCGAATATAATTAATGTTAATATTTTATTAGGCGATTTAAGTTCTGTTTCTTCATGGGTTTATAATGAAAATTGGACTTTGGTGGTTTTGTTGGTTATATTTTCATTTTTTACAACTATTTGTTTATTGAATTTATTTATTGGATTACTTAGTACAGCAATTGTATATACAAATAATGATGAATCATTTTTACATTTAAAAAGAGAGGTAATGCTATATAATAAAAAGCCAAAATATTTATTTTGATCTAATATTTATTTTGATACTTTTTTTAGATATTAACAGAAATTGAATTATTTTGGATGTTTCCTTATCAAAGAAGAAAAAAAAATTGGTTTCCGGAAATTATGTAAATATTTAAAGTTTCTATTTACAAAATATTTATATAGTTTAATTATTAATTTAATGGAATTTATTAGATATTACGCAGCTACAATTGAAGAACTTCAAAAATATATTCGAATATGTCAAAGTGAACATTTTGAAGAATCATCTAGACCATTTATATTTCCACATATTTATAAAATCACAGAATTAGACACAAAAACTGTCAATGAAAAACTTAATGATCTTGATGAAAGGCTTAAAAATCTTGATATAAAACTTAATAATCTTATTGTGGCACATTAAGAAGATTCTTCTAAGCTCACACGTGTCAAACTTTATCTAGTAATATTGCTTAAACAATTTTTGTTGAAATTAAAAAATAAATTAAATATTATATGTAATTTGGGACAATTATTTATATTTGAAATTTGCATCATAATTCAAATATTTAAAAATAAGTTTAGTATATGTTGGATTTAGCTTTCTTGTTAAGTTATATAAAATAAAATAAAATAAATTTATGGAATTTTATCACATATTACACTGGAAATATTAAGTAGAAAACTATATGATAAACTTCTTATTTGACTTAATAATCTTAGAAATAACAATGTTAGAAACTGTATATTTTCTATATTGTGGTATTCTGCATGATGAAAATCCGAAGATTGAATTTCCCTAGGTTGTTGAAATGAGAAATTTCTTTATCCCTATACGAACATGGGTGTAGGAGATGTACCAGGAACAAAGTGCATGGTTAAATGAACATTTATGCTAAATTATATGTGCATAACTATCAGGTATGTATGTACAATTATTGGATTCGTATGCCTGAAGTTAGCACTTGATTGTGTTAAGTGCGGCTTCAGACACGTCATATTTACAATTTATTTATGATTAATCAGAGTCGAAAAATGTAAAATTTTATGGGTAGGCAAAAGGTCTTTAAACATGAGTGCAAAGAACTTTTTTTATCAATTACTTAAATAGGCGATTCAGCTTTACGAATATTTCCTATTTATTTGCTATAATTAGTTGAGTATACGCTCGTTTGCGTTAATTTAGCCGGTAAATATGAAGGACCTTATAATTGTCATTATATTATATCGTTTATATAATTTTGTTCAACCGAACGATGTGTTATATTGATAACAATAAGGACATTTTCCCTTATCTCTATTCCTTTCAGAACCAAATTTCAAATACTAACATACATTCGGTTTTTGAGTTAGTCCGTATATCTTATCACCTTCTAATTGACCGAAATTTTTAAATTCAATATGCAAGAATAAATTAGAATTATGCACAAAGTATGCAAGTACGTCAGATAATGTATCTAATATTAGTAAAAGTCAATTTTCTTTTTAAACAAGGATAAATAGTAAATGAAGGTTGATGATTAATATTATTGTGTGATTACGTAACATATAAGTGAAAGTTGTTTTCTTATAAAAAGCATACACAAAATCTTCAAGGAATTTCCTCAGGCCGCAAAGCATTTAGTCTGTGTAGATAATGAGATTAAGCATGAAAAAATTCTTTCCAAGTTATTTCGATCTTAGAGTTTGAAACCGGTTTATTTTCCATATGTCAAAACCGGTTAACCCGATTCTAATCTAGTATCCTCGTCATATGGTTACACGACTTGTATTTATCGCAAAAATCCAAAGTATTGAAAACCGCATAAATTTTTTCGAAGCATTGAGCATATTTTTAATTATGGAGATTTTATACAATTCAAAGTTACTCTTGACATCATAATTTTTGGATTATTCTGATATAATTCTATTTAAATTCTTCAAAATTTTAAATTTTAAACTATCGCTGTAACTTTTAACGAAGGATCCTTAAGAATAGTCTAATCAATTACAATATTCAGGTTTATGGATCTCTATGACTTGAAATACAATTATAATGCTTTGCAAAAAGATATGGCCACATGATATTTCGAGGAAAGTTTCCTAGATTTTAGATTGCCTGTTATTTTATATTTTCGATCGATTACATTTATATTTCTTCAAAGACGATAAAATTCTTAAAATCGATAGAATCTCCGATTCCCACATGACATTGTAATCTGCAGAGGCCACATCTTTTGCAAGCGCAATAAATGATTATACTCTCAGACAATTTCCGTGATAAATCATCTAAATATATAAATAATAAAAGGTTTTTATTATCATGAAGAATATCAGAGTTTGACCATTATTATTATCGTATTTTTACTAACACTACCATCTTTAATTTTCTTCGATAGTGGAATGTAATTGAACTAATTCATCCTTTAATTCTTCAATATTTGGTCGTCGAGAGGGCTCCGCATCCCAACAACGACTAATAATTTGTGAAATCAAATTTGACGTTGTGTTTGGAAATTCCGGTCTTATGCCATTACAAATTTTCATCTCCAAATTAACATCATGCAGAATATTATAATATGGAGACAAACCCGTTGTTATTTCATACAATATAATACCTAATGAATATATATCTGCCTCACGTGTATATTGCTTAGTATGCAAAACTTCTGGAGCTACGTAAGGTATGTGTATTTTGTCAATGGATTGATCCGGAATTGAATAAGCAATCATCATCTTCTCTTCATGAACCAAAATATTTTCTGAATTCTATAAAAAAATTACAAATGGATATTTGCGAGTTATTTTTAATAATTATAACATGCTTAATGTCAGATTAACAAACTTCTATTATCGCTATTTGCAAAATGATGCATCATAGGACTTTGCAGATTGCAATCACTTGATTATCGTTCGATTGTGCGATTGTAAAATGATTTTATTAATATTTTATAAATTATGACTTTCTTATATTTATATCCTCAAAAATAACACTTATATTCTTAAAACCAATTTCGCACAATCGCTAGCGATAAATCGTAGCTGAAAGGTGTGATAATCTGATTTTTTTTAAGCATATAATTAAGGCAGAATTATTTGCTTTACTAGTAGGAGTTTCAAATTTAACAAACAAATGGCACATTCGAAAATAGTAGGATTTTTCAATAGTATTTTTACTGTGTTGAATTATAAATCAGACTTTAATTTGAAACCCCAGTAGGTTAAAAATTAGTTCTCTTCGAACTGAACTTTTATTTTAGAAAATTTAGGTACTTACTAAATTTCGATGAATAATATTATGATTATGCAAGATTTTTATTCCCAATATTATTTCTTCAGCAATTCGTATTCTATCAGCCTGCTGGAGTTTTAAAAAATTATTCTTTAAAAATTGATGTAAATTTCCGTCCTTCGCATATTGTAAAATCACATAATAATCATTGGACACTGATTTATTATATTAAACATTTAGGTTAATTATTATAGAACCTTATTTGCATAATTGGTTAAGAAAAACATTCTCCCTTACATTTAGTTACACCATAAAATCGAATAATATTAGGATGAAAGCTAACTTTTTGCAAGTTTTCAAGCTAAAATATTAAAAAAATAAATAAATAAATTATAAGTTATAAGGGAATTATTTTTTATACCCCAAATTTATTATTCGTACCCTCTGCAAAAATTTTAACTTTGAAAGAAGATATCACAGCGACCGCCAAGTTAAATTCGATGAATTTTTTTTATTTGAATTCTATGAATTCATAGAATCCGAACAAAAAAAGTTCATCGAATTTGATTTGGTAGTTGCTAAGATATCTTCGCTCAAATTTAAAAAAAATTCAAAATAGCTATATTAAATTTTTTTTTTTTTAACTTTGAGCGAAGATATCTTAGCAACTATCAGGTCAAATTCGATGAACTTTTTTTTGTTTGAATTCTATAATTTCATAGAATTTAAACAAAAAAACGTTCATCGAATTTGACCTTGTGGTAGCTGAGATATCTTCACTCAAAGTTATAAAAAAGTTCAAAACGTCTATCAAAACAAAAGCTGCGCCAAAACTTTTTCCTAACTTTGAACAAAGATATCTCAGCAACCACAAAGTTAAATACAATAAACTTTTTTTTTATTTGAATTCTATAAATTCATAGATTTAAATAAAAAAAAATTTCATTGAATTAGAGTTTGTAGTTACTGAGATATCTTTGTTCAAAGTTTGAAGTATAGTTGTTAGACGAAACCTTGAGGTTTCGCGCTGACGAAATGCGAAACCTAGTTTCGTCTTTCGTCAACTAA